GATGGGCCTATTTGCCGTCACAGTTCTTCCCTTTCGCCTCTTGGGCGTTGCCATCTTCTTTACGCTCTCCTTTCTGTGCGCAGAACTGGCGACACGCTGGGGAGACCCCGAGAAACCCATGTCTGGCTTCAAAAAGTATGCTGGGCAAATTTACTTTTTTTTAACTTTTCGTCTAGGACCGTTTTGCTGCCGCTCTTCAACTTCTTTGGACGACTAGTATTCTTTTTTGCGGGCTTCCAATGGATCACCACAAAGGGTACCCGGGCCAGCCCAGATGAGGCTCCCATCATTGTGCTTGCGCCACACTCCTCCTTCTTTGATTCCCTTCTTGTGGTAGCGCTCGGTCTGCCCTCAGTCGTGGGCAAGACCGAAACAGCCAATTCCCCCATTGGATGCCTAATTAAAATGACTCAGCCCATTTTAGTAAATCGCGACGACCCCTCCTCTCGACAGAACACCCTGCGGGAAATTAATCGGCGTTCGCAGTCCAATGGCGAATGGCCCCAGATTCTCATCTTCCCTGAGGGCACATGCACTAATAGGTCCTGTCTGATTAATTACAAACAAGGTACGTCAGTTTCTTCTACCTTCTATTCATTGTTCTGCGAAATTTACTTGCAGTTCATTCCACAAAACCCGCCTAACTTGTCGTGGGCTGTTTCAGCCGTATGCTTCCTAATGAGCCAGCTACAGACTTGTTCACCGTAGAGCTTTGTGGCAAATTTTTAATTTGTTCAGCTTTTATGGAACACAATGAGTCACGAGGCGAACGACGAGAACCCACCCAAACCCCGTGGTCATCCTTCCTGGATGACCTAAGATAGTCTGGTGATGTGACAACGAGCACAGACTGTGTTTTTTCATACCGATTCGGTGTACTTTACCCGAAGGGTGGTTTTCCGCTTAGGCTTGTTTTGCACGCGTACTTCCCAGCATTCACAAACGAACTAACCGGACTGACTCCTAGTAAGCACGGATTTTTGCGATCATGGAGATGTCGCGTCGGGTCCTGTTGCTTAAGAGTATATTTATTTAAGTTCAGCTATGAGATCCATGTAAGCATCCAGGAAGTCAATGTAGGCGCACGAACTTTTTCGAT